ATTGCAGCACAGTTGGATGAAGGACGCGCGGTTTCTATTCGTCGGCACAACCAAAACGTCGAGAAAAACCGCCATGTTCTCGGTCGATTGATAGATGTTTTGAAGTTCATTGGTTGTCACGAGCTGTCCCTCCGTGGGCACGATGAACGGGCTGGCTCTTCTAATAGAGGGGTATTTTTGGATATGGTGGAATACACCGCATCCCTAGATACAGTATTGAGAGATCATCTTGATGCCGCAACTGTTTCGAAAGGGACATCTAAGGATATCCAAAATGATTTGCTCGACTCAATGTATAAAATTTATTTACAACATTTGGCTCTGGAAATTGAGAATTGCCAGTTCCTTTCGATTCAGTCTGACGAGACAACTGACATCACGTGCGTTTCCCGACTGACTGTGATTTTTCGGTTTGTAAAAGATGGTTCACCTACCGAGAGATTTTACAGCTTTGTACCAATCGTTGATCGCACGGCTTGCGGGATATCGGCTGTACTGAAAGAAGTGTTACAGCCTTACAACGCGAAGTCAAAATTGATAGCTCAAACTTATGACGGCGCGGCAGTCATGAGTGGGTCGAAACATGGTGTTCAAGTTTATATAAAAGAAGATTTTCCTCATGCGCATTTTTTACATTGTTATGCACACCAATTTAACCTCGTTATTAAAAATATGTGTCTTGATACCCCTCTCGTCCGTATATTTTTTGCAAATGTTTCGGGGTTTTCTTCATTTTTTTCCGTTTCGCCGAAGCGCTCTGACCTCCTTCGCCAGATATGTAGCCGCCGTCTCCCAGCTTGTGCACCAACACGTTGGAACTTCCAATCACGCGTGGTGCAGGGCGTGTCCGAAATTAGGTCTGAGCTCATTGAGTGTTTCAATGGCATTCAGAGCTCTCCGGTTTGGGACGAACGCTCTGTGAGGGAGGCGGCAGGTCTAAAGCGTCTGCTAGAAGATGGTGAGTTTTCATTTTTTCTCGCTTTTTTCTCCACAATATTCTATCACGTGGATGTATTATACGGCGCATTGCAGTCAAGGCTAATGGATGGAGCGTCTGTGCAGTCGTGTATTTCAGACTTCTGCGATGCTGTATCTCGTATCCGGGAAACAATAAAATACGACGACACATGGAGTGCTTCTTTACGCCGCGGGCAAACAACGCAGCGTTTGATTTTGTCTGCAAAGGAATGCTGTGACATTCTGGTGAATCAAATAGGCGATCGTCTGCGCACTGAACACCTTGCCGCGTTCTCTTTGATGAACCCCAAAAATTTTTCAAAATTTGCACGTCAATTTCCCATCCATTTGTTGGCTACTGTCTCCAAATTTTACCCCATGATAAACGTGGGTAAATTGGAAAATGAATTGTGATGTATATACACCAATCAAACTTTTTTGAACATCACATCAACTTGCGCGCTCTATGGGTTCCTCATAGATAACACTCTAGTAACTACCTTTGCGGCGTCTGCAAAATTTCTGGACATCAACCTCGTTATTAAAAATATGTGTCTTGATACCCCTCTCGTCCGTATATTTTTTGCAAATGTTTCGGGGTTTCTTCATTTTTTTCCGTTTCGCCGAAGCGCTCTGACCTCCTTCGCCAGATATGTAGCCGCCGTCTCCCAGCTTGTGCACCAACACGTTGGAACTTCCAATCACGCGTGGTGCAGGGCGTGTCCGAAATTAGGTCTGAGCTCATTGAGTGTTTCAATGGCATTCAGAGCTCTCCGGTTTGGGACGAACGCTCTGTGAGGGAGGCGGCAGGTCTAAAGCGTCTGCTAGAAGATGGTGAGTTTTCGTTTTTTCTCGCTTTTTTCTCCACAATATTCCATCACGTGGATGTATTATACGGCGCATTGCAGTCAAGGCTAATGGATGGAGCGTCTGTGCAGTCGTGTATTTCAGACTTCTGCGATGCTGTATCTCGTATCCGGGAAACAATAAAATACGACGACACATGGAGTGCTTCTTTACGCCGCGGGCAAACAACGCAGCGTTTGATTTTGTCTGCAAAGGAATGCTGTGACATTCTGGTGAATCAAATAGGCGATCGTCTGCGCACTGAACACCTTGCCGCGTTCTCTTTGATGAACCCCAAAAATTTTTCAAAATTTGCACGTCAATTTCCCATCCATTTGTTGGCTACTGTCTCCAAATTTTACCCCATGATAAACGTGGGTAATTGGAAAATGAATTGCGATGTATATACACCAATCAAACTTTTTTGAACATCACATCAACTTGCGCGCTCTATGGGTTCCTCATAGATAACACTCTAGTAACTACCTTTGCGGCGTCTGCAAAATTTCTGGACATCATTTTGACGACGCCTATTTCTTCCGCCGACGCAGAGCGAACATTCAGCACGCTGAAGCGTATTAAAACGTATCTCAGAAACACAATGAAGCAAGATAGATTAAATTCCTTGGCTGTTTTATCCATTCACAGAGACGTTATTTCTGGGATGCATGACTTTAATCAGCGCGTTATTGAGCATTTTGCTTCCAAGAAACCGCGGCGTGTTGCATATATGTTCAAGCAGTAGAAGTCTAGCAGCATATATATCTATGAGTGAGCGACGCATGTCCTTATCTTTGCATTAACTTTTCTTTCTTCATAGTAACGTTTTAAACCTTATTTTAGGTTTTGTCTGCTTTCCCGAAGTTTCTGTTAATTTGTCATTGTATTTATCTGGGTAAATATTGCCTTTCCTTTTGAAAGAGGTTTCAAAATAAACTATGTCTATATTTATTAATCCCTTGACTGGGATCCCTTGACTTGATCCCCTAAGGACACTTTCTTATCGTTAAAAATTGTCGCTTTTGCCGATTGGTTGTTACCGATGGAATGGTTTTTATACTCATAAAATGATGGGAGAACTTACAGCGCTCATCCTGTCCCCGTAGATGGGGGTGACTTGGTCCCGCAGTAGCTTGCCCCGGTTGTCAAAATGACCACGCGCCGCCACTGCCTATAACTCAGTCTACCTTGTGGAATTCGAACCCTGGCCTGATGCTTGACCATGTCTCTACGATTCCCCTGCGCCACCGATGCTGACGAGGATCCCGTTGATCAGAATCGTACTTAATTAACGACGTCACGCTTGGCAGCTCACGACTAGACAACCCCGGGAAAATTACATTGATTCGAAGAATGTGTATTCATGCCCGTGATATCCCGTTTTAAATTTGTGGTGCATATTACTTCGTTCACTTTTATCAAAAAAATGTGTTATTATGCAATCATAGCGACAAGACGCATAAGATAATTCAAAGAAGTAAATCTGCAAAAAATCTTCTGACATTGATGGAGGAATACTAGGACCCGAAGGCAGTCCATCAATTTGATCTTTCTGTCTCCTGTGCCAACAGACCGTCTGATCTCTGCTTTACTGTTTCTTACTTTATGAAACATCTCAGTTTGAGATTCTCGCAGCGTCATGCTTCTTTACAAATTGAAACAATATCATACACTCTGGAAAAAACTTTAAACACCGTCAATTTTGTCTTAAAAGGTTGCTATGGCAGTCAGTAAAGATGATAATGTGAAAATTGGCGTTGTGGTGAATTCTTGTGAAAATTTGAGTTGTGGCAAATTATTATGAAAATTTGCGTTGTGACGAATTCTTGTGAAAATTTGAGTTGTGGCAACTAATTGTGGAAATTTGCGCTGTGGCAAATCATTGTGAAAATTTGCGTTGTGGCGAATTCTTGTGAAAATTTGAGTTGTGGCAACTCATTGTGAAAATTTGCGTTGTGGCAAATCCTTGTGAAAATTTGTGCAGTAGCGAATCCTTGTGAAAATTTGCGTTTTAAATTACTTTGAAAAATTAGGTTGTAGCAAATTTTTGCGAAAATTTGTGTTAAGACGAATTATTGTGAAAATTCGTGTCGTGGCGAATCCTTGTGAAAATTCGCTTTGTTGCGAATCCTTGTGAAAATTCACTTTGTTGCGAATCCTTGTGAAAAATCGAGTGTTGGCGAATCATTGTGGAAATTGGCGTTGTGGCAAATTATTATCAAAATTTGCGTTGTGCCGAATCCTTGTGAAAATTCATGTTGTGTCGAATCCTTGTGAAAATTTGCGTTGTAGCAATTTACTTGGAAAAATTGCTTTCTAGTATATTTTTGCGAAAATTTGTTTTGTGGCGAATCTTTGTGAAAAATCGTGTTTTGGCGAATCATTATGAAAATGGGCGTTGTGGCGAATTCTTGTGACAATATGCGTTTTGGCAAATTATTATGAAAATTTGCGTTGTGGCGAATCTTTTGTGAAAATTCGTGTTGTGTCGAATCTTTGTGAAAATTTGCGTTTTGTCGAATCCTTGTGAAAATTCATGTTATGGCGAACCCTTGTGAAAATTTGCGTTGTAGCAATTTATCTGAAAAAATTGCTTTCTAGTATATTTTTGCGAAAATTCGCTTTGTGACGAATCCTTGTGAAAAATCTTCTTTTGGCGAATCATTGTGAAAATTGGCGTTGTAGCGAATTCTTGTGAAAATTTTCGATGTGGCAAATTTTTATGGAAATTCGCGTTGTGGCGAATTATAATGAAAATTCAGTTTGTCACGAATCCTAGTTAAAATTTGCGTTGTCGCAAATCCTTGTGAAAATTTGCGTTGTAGCAAATTACTTCGAAAATTGCTTTGTGGCGAATTCTTGTGAAAATTCGCATTGTGGCGAATTATTATAAAATATGGCATTGTGGCAAATCATTGTGAAAATTCGCTTTTTTCCGAATCATTGTGAAACTTAGCGTTGTGGCGAATTTTTGTGAAAATTTGCGTTGTGGCAAACTAGTATGAAAATTCACGTTGTGGCGAATTCTTGTGAAAATTTTTGTTGTGGTAAATTTTTATGAAAATTCGCGTTGTGGCGAATTATAATAAAAATTCAGCTTGACACGAATCCTAGTTAAAATTTGCGTTGCGTCGAATTCTTGTGAAAATTTGAATTGTGGCAACCCATTGGGAAAATTTGCGTTTTAGCAAATTACTTTGAAAAATTAAGTTGTAGCAAATTTTTGCGAAAATTCGTGTTAAGATGAATTATTGTGAAAATTCGTGTCGTGGAGAATCCTTGTGAAAATTCGCTTTGTTCCGAATCATTGTGAAACTTGGCGTTGTGGCGAATTCTTGTGAAAATTTGCGTTGTGGCAAACTAGTATAAAAATTTGCGTCGAGACGGATTCTTATGAAAATTCATGTTGCGTCAAATCATTGTGAAAATTCATGTTGTGGAGAGTCCTTGTAAAAATTTGAGTTGTAGGAATTTACTTGGAAAAATTGCAATCTCAAATATATTACGTCGGATTTGTAATAATCCCAAATATACTGATTGACTTGACATGGTTTGCAATACGATAAACAATGTTAATTTTTTCCTCATTCCAGAAGTCAATATAATCTTATGCTACCAAAATAAGACCAATCGACTAACGCTTAGTAAATTTTATTGTAAATAGTTTGATGATTTTCATCCCGTTTGCGTACGTACGTTTTACATCGATTGTTGCGATCCCGAGTGAATCTAAAGTTTGGTACCTAGCCTCATATGGAATTAGCACGCCGAGCGCCCCAAATCGTTTGGAAAAAAGAACACACTTTTCTAAATTAGCTAAGGCATGTTAAAGCCATTGCCCGCATTGAATTATATATATATATATATGAATGTTTTAACTATGAAAAAATGTCTGTTGGTCATGTCATATATGGAATTTCAACAGTATGAGATCATGAATTAAGTTTGGCGTCCAACGTGTTGTTAGGTTCAAATTCTGTTTTTCAACTACTTTCGTCAGCGTGCTGTTGGAGAATTCGGCACTGAAAAATATGTGACTTTACTTATGTCGGTCAGAAGCAAAGGATGAATTTTGTTTAACGAATATACTATACTATACCAGTAAACCTTATATATATGTGAAGACTTTCTACATAAAAAGTAATGTATTTCTAAAAAGTCCAGATCAAAGGAAATATCAAGCATTAACTATGAATGATGTCTAAAATTTCAAAAGCGATTTCGTATATTGTTACATAAGGAATTAAATAACACGCACTCTGACTTATCAAATAATATAAGCAAACTCCTACATCAAAACACAAAAGCTCTCATAGTAGGCCACCTGATACTCCCGTAGCATGTGTACCAGGTTAGGGTTAGGCCATAATTTTATTCCGATTTTCCTTATTTTAGTTCTATTACGAGTTCGAGACTGTCTGTGTTAGCCAAGCGAATATACGTTCCAGTCCCTTCACACAACTTGATGTAGAGTAGGCAAACAAAACTAGTTACCTTTATATTGGTACACATACTTCTGGAGCGCCGGCCATCTTAAACATTTAGCCTACTCTGATATCGATGTAAGTCAAAGATGAATTGTGACGTTATTTCTACCTGGTATCCCTGGATTTGATGTAATTTGCAGTATTTGTCTGCAATTAATTCTTCGTCCACTCAAGTTGTAAAATTGGGGCAAGCATCCGCCACAGCTGCTCATACGACATTGCACGTTAGGGTTGTTGAATTGACTGGCATAGTAGTAAGATATTTGCTGTCCGTATGTGACGCATCTATAATTTGCACAATCCTGCTGATTGCAGTTTGGTACGGGTGGATAATTACGAGGACATCGGCCTGTATGCATTGAGCAATATTGAATCATTTATTTCAAATATTTTAATGGTTTTTTATGGATATTCTTCTCAGTTGTTTGAACAGATGTTGTGCTTTTGTACCGGAGCGAAAATGCTTGTTTTTACAATTTTACATATTGACTTCTACAGATCATTTGTGACCAATATGCCTAAAAATGTAATTTTTGATCTGCTGAATTTTGATGTAGTCACAAATTAGCGTCGGGGATGGGCTTACGTTGTTATTCAAGAGTAATCCACAGATTCTATTCGCAACTGGTGTGAACAATCAATATTTCAATGCAATTATTTTTTAAACAATGTCGCCAACTAATTGATCGAATGGGACACGGTATCCTTCTACAAGGAACGTAAATTTACACAGTGAGTCGTGAAATCTAAAATTAATTATCGAAGGCTGTTTCATCTCGTTGTTGCTTGCCCTTTATTTCAACTTTTCGTTCTCGACAAACCCAAAGTAAAGACCTTAAGTTGAATAAAGTATGTCTGGGGAAGTCTTACTTTCGTGAAATGAAACGTTACAGAAATATACTTATGTTAGTGTGCAGAAAGACTCGGATTATGATTTTATGCTTGATGGGAAAATGTCTGAGTATTGACAAGGGCCACACTAAATGGCTTGGAGGGCCGGATTGTGGCCCGCGGGCCGCCTGTTGTACACCTCGGACTTGGTCATAAATTATCACTCATATGAATAATATGATGAAGAAAGAATAGAAATATTTTGTACCAACTTTTATTAATCCTGTATTTGCAAAGTTCGTTTGTCTTTAACAGGAAAAAAGATGGTTCAAAACGCAGAACAAAATACTTACATTGACTGGTAATTTCGTGACGAAAGTCGTAGAAGTGAGCTCGACAACCATTGCATGTTGTTCTACATTGTGCATTGAGGTTTGCTGGACATGTTGTAACCTGGCATGCGTTTACCAAACAGTTTCTAGGACATGGGTTTCCGCTCATTCCACCAAATAGAATGAAGAAAAGGGCTTCTGTAAATCCAAAACACTTATTTTAATGGTTTACGAACTGTCGTCACGAAAGTATGACCTTCGTATGATTGTTTTAATCACAGACACTGCAAAGTTCCAAACTATTGAAAAAAAAAACAAGATCTTTTGTTTAAATTGCGTGACTTTCCACATCTCACAACCGGCGAGAAATTAATTCCAAGGAAAGAATTTTATTGTTTTTTTGTATTTGTTGTAGTATTACTAACATTCTTTACTTTTTATTATTACTATAATACATATTTATTCACAAATTATAATCTACTCAAAATTTGGGTTAAGTTACGTCTTAAACTGTATACCGTGATATTTGCGTGGTGACAGCACATTTGAACGCACGGGTCAATATGCGGGTTCAATTTATATGCGGGTGCTAAAATCCATGGGTTAGGGTTAGTATGGGTTCAAATATTAGTAGGTGCAATAGTATGCAGGTGCAATTGTCGCGGGTTCAAATGCAAGTGGGTTCAAATGTAATGAAACCATTTGCATACAACACTAGCTATACGGATGTACTTTTAATGATTAAACCAATAAGGTATCGTATTTCTCCGCGTATAATACGAACTTCCATGGTCAAATTTAGTCTCATAAATATGGGGGTGCGTATTATAGATTGCTTTAGAAAAATAACTTCACAAGATACTTTAATGTCAAATAAAATCACATCATGATTGGCAGATGTTTAACTGGCAAATACATAAAACATATTACCAGATAATATATATTTAACAAAAGGCCAGCAGACAGAATGTCTGAAACGTTCGGAAAAAACACCTCCAAGACGGAGTTTTGATGTGCGTATTATGCATGGAGTTTGAGAAAAATTCTCGTTAAATATGTACTAAAACCTGGGTGTCTATTATGCACGGAGAAATATGGAAGTTTTCATGCATTGTGAGGAAAGAATAGAGAAGAATTCGAAGAAAAAGGTTGGGGACCAATGTTCTAATATGATGAGTTACTCAATAACAAGAAATCGACGGACGAAACGCTAGTTATGAAAACTAATTCTAAGCTAAAAAAAAAAAAGTTGAAAGGATAGAAAGCATCTGCGATTTTAATTTCACCTTTAGAAATTGTTCGTTTAGGCAAATCCCAACAAACAGACGTTCCACATTTTGTCGGACAACAAATCTTCTTATCATCATTGCAATCAGCATTGACTGCACAGTTTGTTTCAGGACACGAAGAGTGTTTGTGAGCAGCAGGACATTTAGGATCGTATTCTAGATAAAATGAAGAACGACATGTACATTAACATCATATCATGCCAAATTCAAAATACAAAAATGATCGTATGATAGAATATTAAGGTGAATGCTATTAATCGGGTTCTGCTATCCAAGTGTAGTTGAATTCATGCTTGTCTGAGAAAGTTTGACATTGGTCGAGCAAAACATTACACAAATAGATAAGCTTCTGGCAGTTTGTAAATACCTCAAAAATATGCCAATTTATGTTTTATTCAGTAAATATCTGACTCGGTATTATCCGGACCACTTGACCCATTATTGTGCTTATGAATTTTTATCGTACTGCCAAACACTTACTTTTGCAAGTAGGTGGTTCTTCTGACCATTCTCCTTTCCAAAGACAAACAACTTTCTTTGCTCCCCATTTTCGCAACCCAGTTTTGCAGTAGAAACTGTTACAAATATACTAATTATCTGTGCTCCAAATATTACTCTAGCCGCCATGATTAAACCGTATCAAAGAACGAAAAATAGTTTTGATAATTCGATTTTTATGAAAATCTTACAATTTTTTTTCAAATAATAACGACAAGGCTACCGGCAATGGCCAAAGAAAGCAGAATGTCTTCGTAATTTAACAAGGTAAGTATAGAAGCGCATCATTATCTGAAACTCGACACTGGCATCAGAAACTCTCCCCACGCAGCGATAAAGTTTGACACACCCCTGATTGTGATTTACGACATGCACTCTGAGACTGCAGAATATCATTGGATTTACATATTTATCCCGGCGATAGGAAGTCGATAAGACGACTTAATAATATGGGAAACACGACCTTTCATGGGGTTACCAGTCCATGTCGGGTATGAGATTAGTTTGCCATTTATTTGTTTCAGACGCTTTGACTTGATGATAGAGGAAGGAAACCACTGGTCCTAATGATGTCACTCTCGATGACCTCTGTCTGTGTGTGTTAATTCTATTGATCCCGGAATGAGTAGAAGTTGAAAATCCCGAGCCCGGGATTTCAGATCTGGTCCCAAAATAGCAACCCTAACGTGAACCTACTCGAGGTCCACGAAAGTATGAATTCGAAATATATTTAAAAGTTGATTTCTTTCAGTGAATCTTCGAAGGTGCCGGAATACGTGAAAGAGGGTAGGCATTCAAACTTCTGTTTTGACCCGAAAGATCTAACGTTTGGAATTACAGCTTGTGGCAAGTCAAAATACAATCCTTCAATTCGTACTGCCGAAATTGTGAATGAAATGCGTTCATAGCTGATCTTTCAAAATCAATAACAATTTTGGCCTTGTCAGCATTTGGGTTAATAATTTTAACACTTCCACCATCTGTAGTACGTATAACTCTTGTCGCGTAATAATAAATATACGCAAGAGGATGCTTCAAACTTTATGGTGAATTGCATACAACAGGAAGAAAATGTCCGGCACCACATCGAATTTACCATCGCCAGGACCTAAATATTTTGAAGGGTCATCTACTTCTATAATACACACATACATACACCTGTCGCAAAATAATCCATGGACTGACTATTCGTTAAATCTATTCTACTGGAAAATTGAGGATAAAAACTTTATTCTCCTACAAAGTTACACAAAAAATATCAACAAATTAAAAGCAAGCGAGCGATTTCAAATATGTGAAACAAGAGACAGAACGAAGTAGCACGAGCATGCAATCTGCCCCAGTAGACCACCAACACGACAATCTTCACGAGTAACACGAAAGCGGAACCGCCACAAGGTGCGCAATTTGCACATAAAAAACGAATTCCACAGATACCAGAAAAATTTAGAAATAACTAAATATAATAGCCTTCTATCGGAAATACAATCTTTAACAGCTGAAAATTTCAAAGCAATTTTTTTATAACAAAAAAAAAATACTAACAAGAACAAGATAGCTATGCTCTAATATATGGGTACGTAGCGCCACCTATTGACGAATTTAAAAGCAATTGGACCAGAAATCAAGTGAAAAGCGATTCTTTTCTGAGACAAAGAACAACAAGAACAACGTAATAACAAAACGATTGCTATGTCCACTAACGTGTCCAACAAAAACAACTGATAACGAAACGATCTATATGTACATTTCGTGTCCAATAAAAACAACTCAAAATACTGCTTTACGTTCTGCGAGCAAGGTTGTGAATGAACGATGTTATAGCCTTTTTTGATAAAATTCACACAATTTACTATAATTTTCACATTATATCAATTCTGAATATAATACGTCGGATTTGGCGGCGACTCCATGAGAGTAATCATTTGTAGAGAGACATTTCCGAGTAGAAATTTCGACAAACAGATTGAAATCTGGCTGCCGGTCACAGTCGGATAGACTCAAATGGAATTCGGACCTGACTAACTGTCGAAGTATTTTTCCCAATATAACTTGCTTGCTTTCACTGTTGTTTACTGCTATTACCTGTGACCAGTGATACAGTGGATGCAGGGAGTTCGCGCAAGCATGTGCTTGGAATATCGTGACAACAGCAACAGTTTTGCATACGGACCTGTGGCAAAAATAGTTGAGTAACCCTGCCCTAGATCAGGGGTCACCAAACCTTTCGAAGCCAAGGGCTACTTTCTGGGTACATATTGAGCTGGGGGCTACCAGTTCAATGCACAGTTCTAAAAAAGTCAATTTGCTGAATTAAGCTTCAATTATTGATAATGGCTGGTATTTAATCAAATAGAGACACTGATAAACGTTAGGATTCTTCAGGAAATCAAAGGGTATTAACAACGTAGCAAATAAATTACTATCAATGGACACTTACATTTTAAACTTGTGTGTTTATCAAATTGATTTTAAAGTGACCACTATAATATCCTAGAAAACCACAGTGTACCTGCTTTTTTACAATCGCCCTGCATATGCCTAAGATGAAATGAGCTTAGCAGTTGTACTATTAAATGTTACATTCACAAACTCATTTAACAAACTATGAATATCTTATTTTCAACTAGTAAACCCAAATCAAACAAATCTGGTCTAATGCTCTCCACCAGTGCGTTGTACTCAGCAGGGTTGCGATATTGGCTTTTTTAATTTTTTCAAACACGTTTGGCGTCAAAACTTCCGTTTGGCTTTTTTAAGTCTCTTTTAGTGTCTATTTTTAAAATCATATGGAATACAATATTTAGTGTGTAACAATAGCCTATTGCTCAGCTACTTAACATTTGGATTTCCCCAAGCATCGATTTCCTTGTTTATTACCTCAATACTTAACCTGACCAATCAGAAATAATTGCAGCTTCTGCAGCTGCTCAGACAGATGTTCAAGCATGGTTGTAAACATTGCCTCGTTGTTATAGTTTTGCGTGTTATTTGTCAGTTTTTAGTTCTGTTTCCAAAAAATAGTTGCACAACTTAATTGTCATTATGCCTTCCCAGGAGCTTTAGTTTAGTTGCAGTGGTGGGATTCAAATTTTTTGTCAGCCGGTTCCATCACAAAAGTCATATTTTCCAGCCAGTTCTGTTACAAAAAGTCATATTTTTTAGCAAATAAACTGATTATTTTTAATTACTTCTTAATTAACATGTCAAAATAATGGTTAAGTAAGCACCATTTTGTCGAAATTAGCATCGAAATTTTTGGTGATGTTGAGGATTGTCTATATTGCTGTATATATTATATACTCGTTGATGATGAAAACCTGAAGATGTATGATCTACTGAAAACACACTACAATTATAATAATTACTACAATTATAAAAATTAACACATGTATAACTGTTACGTGCGAA